TGTTTACGAAGAAAAGCAAATAATAGCAGTTTATTCATCTCCAACCGAATTCCAATCATGATAACATTTTATGTTGAGCTCCTAGCTCCAGCTCAATGCTGTCTTTCTTGTCATTTGCACTCTTAGATTCAAGGCCTTTCATTTGGGAATACTGAAATACTCTCAAGTTTTATTGAACGAATAGATCTAGAAAGGCAACTCTACAAGTGCCGAGGGCCCAGAACATTTCCACTCATCCCTACGATTGCAACGACCAAGAGGAACACACGAATTCGATGAAAATTAAAATTAGCATGGAGCCTGGGTTGTTTAGAATTTTTGTGTTAACCAGAAAACATCTGTTGATTAAATTGTGCCGAAAAAAAAAAGAAACAAAAGCGTGAAAGGAAATAATAGACATATTGCTGGAAAAAGTTGCTTTATTTGGCTTCTCGATGGTCATATTGTTGATTAAGAGAGCTCCTTAGCAGTTCTAAAAAGCACGTATCTTCCCATACTAATTGAACGTTTACTGTTCATCTTCCTTTTTTCTCCTCAGTGAACTGTTCAAAGCTGGCAATATTCACTCAAACAATTTTTGTGTGTACTTTCTATAAGTATAAATATATAATTTTTCCGATGATAACGCGATTGTTATCCGAATGTCTTTGTACGCCAAAGCTAGTCAAAGTATGATTGTACGAGTCTTATTTAGCGCGTATGGATTATCCCAGTGGATTCATGATTTTAAACAAAACTTTAATTAGTTCCCTTGCTTTGGTTGTTTGGTGCTTATGTTTTAACAGATACACGTAGTCTCCGAGAAAATGGTTTTTTTTGTTGTCTTGGAACTAATTTGTTCCAAAACAGTGATGATTAATTGCGTACGTACCATAAGGCATGTGTTAAATGTGCTCAATAGAACAGAGCTTTTAAAATGTTATATTTATTCACCGTCGTCTTTATCAAAATTAATTTTTTAAGTTCATTGCAAATTTGATGATATTTTTAATGTAGCATTTTCATATTAGTAAGCTTTAGGCCCTGGATTTATGATTAGTAATGCATAGTCAAGAAAGAATGGTTGTGCCTTCTACCTCTCTTCTGTTCATTTTTAAGTGCTCATACATCTTCCCTCAGTATTGCACCAAGCCGCAGATGAGGATCAAAAACATCTGGTTATCGACAGAAACAGTAGACACAGCAAAGAAGATTGATGCAAACACCTCAACTGAAACAATTAAAAACATGAAGTCTCTTTTTTCGTTGGGTATTGGGAAAAAATTTAGAACACTTTACTGATATTAGTCGCTCTGCTTTATTAGACAACGGTATTCTCTACGTCCTTAAAATTTTTGAAGCACTTTTAGTTTTTAGGGCCTATACCTTCACGACGTGCTAGAGTTACTGGAATAATGATTGATTAACTAATAGATCGGACATTTGGGAGGTATCAGAAACTTGCTGCACCATGAATTAATACGTATAGCAAGAAGAACACCATTTATTTCCTTTTTGTAGGTTGGAAAGCAATCCCCTGACTACAAAGTAGATTTTATTCACTATTCGATTGTTTGATCGATGATCCTCACAACGACTTTCTCACTAAATATTTTTGCGCAGTAGATACAATAGCAACTGGTTCTAATTTAGTTTTGATTGCTAGTTTTCATTCTGATCAAAGTTGTCGTGAGAAAGGGGTAACGCATCACTAAACGATATAATAATTGTAAAAAGTTTAAGATTGAAATTGCTGCTTGATACGTGGAAAAATAATAGGTATAAGATCCTAAACTCGCGCACGAATTTGTTACAGGAATTGGCCTATGTAAATGAAAGCACAAATGTATGTAAACTGGTTTTTTTCGAACTGTAGTTTACTGAAGTGATAAACACGGAAAGATTTTTTTAAATATTGTTCTCTTTGAGGTGCCCAAAGCATAGAAAATGGAGTGAGACATGTCTTCGCTAAACTGCGTTTCGTAAACAACCATTCTGCTTCACCATAATCCAATAAATCCTCTCCTACTTCCTTTTCTCTTTTGCAACGTTATACTGGCAGCTCGTTTTGAACACAAATTTACACACTATAGTCAGGGTGACGTCCTGTTTTCAGCAAATAATGATACTATAAAATTAGGTTAAAAAATGTATCAAGATATCGTTTTGAACACAAACTGTTAATGTTCTAAATGTTGTTGTTCATTTGCATCAGTGCTATTTCTTATCGTCCTGAAAATAATAATTTCACGTTAGTATTTTTCCAGTGATTTTTTGAAAACGAAACCGTGGCCCTTTAAATCAATATTGAACGAGATAAAAAGGAAAGGTAATGAAAGGCTAAAGTTCTGTGAAGATAGAACTTTTACATGAGTATAGATAGATATGGACAGGATCTACAGAAAAAAGGAAGGCCAGCACTATCTGCATAAAATGAAGGTTTTTTTCACTTTATCGTAGACGCTAAAAACTTGGATTTTTCATGATTTTACAGTTCTTCATTTTCTTTTATAGAGCATTTAATTGGTCAATTTTTGAAATTTTTTTATATTATCTCATCATTTTACTCTTTTTTACATTAAACGCGGTTCTTTATCTTTGGGGGCCATGACTTAGAGTATGTCTTGAAAAGAATGGTTGTGTTTCCAGGCGATTGTGAAAAATAGAAAAATGTTTCGTTCCATTTTTCAGTTCTAAATTTAAAAAATTTCATTCTTATTTTTGGATACTATTCAAACCAAAGGCAACGGTTTTCATTGAAAACATGTTGGGAAGTTTACTTTCCTTTCGCAATTTCCCCTTCTTTTGGTTTCTTTTGCTGAGACAATAATTGCAAGGATCTCTTCAAACTCATGCCAGAAATTTGCTTCGAGACCGAAAAGAGAAACACGAATTGTGTCATTTTTGATTAATATTTACACATAAATTTTAATTTTCTCGAGTGCCGTCATGAAAAAGTGATACGTTTTAAGGCAATGAAATTCCATGCCAGTATCTGGTACCTGAAGGACTTCTATGATACCATGACTTCCAGATTACAACAGCCACAAGGCTAGCAACTGTGAGATATCTTTTTAATTAGTTGTGAGGATATCGTGTGCTTTTTGACCCAATATAATGATCACCAATGTTAGCCATAGCATGCAGAAGCATTTTTGGGGGACATTTAGCTGCTTTTTTTTGAGGAAAATATTAGCCATAGCATGGAGAAGCACTTTAGGGGACATTTAGAATTTCAGTGATGTTCTCTGTGTCTTGGATTTTATTACTCAACTTTTTTCTTTGAACGTGGAATTCATAAGTAATTGGTAATTCTTCTGTTAGTCGATGTCCTCGTAGTTTGATCTCCTTTTTTCGTAATGAAATGCATCTATAATGCCTGTTTCATCCACTTTTAAAAAAGAAGGAAAATGAATATTCTCCCTTCATACAAAATAAAGGCAATCGTCGTATTAGTTAATTTCACATCGAGTTAACAAGCTAGAAGAAATTGGAATGCCCGCTTTTACCACTTTTAAAGACGGCGGATTTTTTTTCTAATAAAAAAAGGAATGAAGTCTTACTTGTAATAGGTTCCTCTGAACAATTACTTAAAATGTTCCAAAAAAGGCTGGTAGAATACAGAATTCTTCATTCTAATTCTTTTCATTGTCTTATAGTTTCACACAAAGTACGAGCAGTCCAATAATTGTATATATTTTTTTAAATAATTACTTCTGATTAACAAAACAGTTTATTGTCGCCACAACATAACAATGAGCCACCTCTTGGCAGGCTAATTTGCAAATTGAGACATTTTAATGATACACTTGTCTGATGCGAACAACGTGCAGACGACCATAATATTATACGCCACATATTATACTATTTCTGTAATCGAACTTTTTGCGCTGGTGGAAAATTCGTTCATTCTTGTTATTAATCAGCAGAGAAAGTGATCACAAAAATTTGAGCAAATTTATCCAATCCAAGATGTTAATAATTTGATATTATACATCAAAAGGGTTTGTGTTAGGTTGCTCCGGGAACCTTTTCAAGTGCTGGGAACTATTGTCTTTTTTGTTGACTTAGGGAGCAGATGTACAGTCCACTGAAGAAGGCAAATGGCACGTTGTTTTGGCTCGACCTGTCATTGTGCACGGCAGTTTTCAAGCATTAATTCATCGAATTTTAAGCAAATACAGCTGTATGAAAAAATCAAAACAGACCCCTCAACAAAAATAACGCTAAAACCTTAGATGTTTTCGTACTGGCGACTTGTTTAACTTGTATGAATCGGTTCGCTTGTTCGGTTTTAAGAAAACCAAAGATGATTGTCACTTTTAATTGGGTTATTTCCTTATTACGTGGAGTAAGATTGCTTAGAGTTGTTATTGTAAGAAAGTAAGCTTCCCGTAGTTATTGAAGAATTTGTGTCAAAGATCTCACGGGCTTAACTCCCTTCTACAATTTTCATGTTTTAAGGCGCTAAAGATCATGCCGCATGTTTGAGGAAGAAGTTTAGAGTTCCCCTGAAAAACGTGTCAACTGCTTTCCTTGTTGAAGAATTCTGTGTCAAGTCAAATAGGCTGACCAATGTGACGACGCGGGGGTAATTCTTTTGATTTATTTCACACCCCTGAATTGAACAACATACATTGAATGAAAAAATGATTTGCTTTTGATCGGAAAACGCCGTTCTTTGTACTAATCGAAGTTTCAAACTAGGGAACAATGGCAAAGTTAATTGAGAATGTGTATACAAACTATGCAGAAAAGGAAATACATTGATTAAAATTTCAAGTTTTGTTCATTATCCAAAGCTTTCCCTTTGTATACATTCGGAGAAGAAAATTTGGAAGGTCGGCAATTTGGTTTCAATATCTAGCCACAATTGAGCGCTTAAAACGCTGTTTATTCAGGCCACAGATACTTCAAATGAAATAGACCATCCTAGATGCTAAAACAAACAAGTTTGCCTGAATCTATTTCATGCTGATGACAAACTAATTGAGGAACTGGACACTTGATGCAAGGCTGACATGTCCACTAAAAGGGGTTTTGTTAAACTTATGGCTTGGACAATACCATTTAAAAAGCGGGAATGTTTAGATAAGTCAACAAAGCCTCGAACCTGTGCCGAAACAAAATCGTTCCTTGATCACGAGTTGAGACCTCTATATAATACGACTGTGCAACACCGTATACGTTCATTCACGGCGACCCTTGAAGGAAACACGTTGAACGACCGAGGCGTAAAACACACAGCTCCTTACTTTGCTGATATGCTTCCTTGTCCATTCTCTTCAGGTCAAGTTGCTTCAGTTTGCCAGTTTCTCCAGAATAACGGAGAGATAGATCGCCTTTCGCGATTTCTATGGTCCTTACCCGCAGATATAGAAAGCGACGAGAAAACTACCGAGACAATTCTTGTCTCGAAAGCTGTTGTTCACTTCTATCAGAACAACTTCAAGGAATTGTACGCAATACTCGAGAGCAACAAGTTCTCCAAAGAGAACCATGAACGACTACAATGTCTCTGGAGGACAGCACACTACATCGAAGCGGAAAGGCAACGTGGCAGGCCTTTGGGAGCTGTAGGGAAATATCGTGTGCGAAGAAAGTACCCTCTCCCTCGGACGATTTGGGACGGCGAGGAGACCACTTACTGCTTCAAGGAGAAATCGAGGAACATTCTGAACAAGGCGTACACCGACAATCCATATCCCACTCCTCGTGAGAAGTATGAGCTAGCGAAGATGACTGATCTCACTGTAACACAAGTCAGTAACTGGTTTAAGAACAAGAGGCAACGAGTGCGCGCTGCAGAAATGAGAAAAGGGTAGGTTAGTCCCTCACTCGTTTAGACCAGTTTATTTTCTTTTACATGTTTATTTGAAAATGTATGATCATGAGAGGTCACGATTTCGCTTTTGTGTTTCATTTGCATGGCTGTGAACTAGACCAAAGATTTATCTTACTGGTTACCTTTACATTTTAAGAGTTTTTTTTAACTCTTTATTCTAGCTCATGTTTCTGGTTGCTCATTAATAGCTCCTTAAAAGAAAATTACTGAGTTTCCGTTACAGATACTAGCTAAAATCAACTGAGAGTAGAAATAACCTTGTTTCGATTATCTATAAGTGTTTCAATCGTTCAGAAATATTTGAGCCTATCTTTACCTTTGATTATCACGTTTTTGATGAGATCTGTGCGAGAAAAACTAAATACAAGTAAAATACCTTCATTTCCTCTAAAGGTAGCATTTTAGTGCGAAGATAGAAGTGCGATTTCATTCTAAGATTAAACGGAAATATTGATAATGCTTTTTGAAATTCTTCTTTAATAATGATACATTTGTGTTATGGTCAAATTTGCGATATTCCTGTATCAGTTTTTCATTATTTTTCTCCAGTGATAACCATCCTTTACTCTTATGGTAATTTCTGCAAAGTTGTTTAAGGAGGGAGTCATTGCTTAAGCCTTTAAGCGCCTATTAACACCCTATTCCAGCCGATTAGATGTTAATAGGTTCCGATTATCCCCGAAACATTGACCGACAAAGAACTGAATCACAAGCCGCTAATTACAAAACAGAGTATTTGCAAAAAGGGCATTCGGCATCTGCGTCTCCTATTGCGCGCTCTTTACGTTGAAATCATTCAGTTTCAAAAGGAGAACGTGTGTTTTTAGACACTTCTGACATGAGAACTAGCGGTGCATTGTACAATGTATCGAATCTGCATAAAGTCTTGTATTGAATGGCAATTCCAGTGATGTCTAGAATATTCAATGAATACACTATTAAGATTTCCTCGAATTGATTACCGCCATAAAAATGTTTCTCCTTCTTCACACTACGAGAAAACAAAAGGAGCTAAAAAAGGCGAAGTAATTACTACGAGAAAGAAATGGATGTTAAACACTTATAAAACGAAGACATTAACATCTGATTGTTGGATTGATTTTATGTGAAAAGCTTAATGAATACCCCATTCTTCAATGTGAAGTCGATTTTTACCTTAATTATCATAAATGTTCATTTCTGAAGAAATGAAAAGCTTAGAACTACATTTTGCCCAATACATTGTCCATTGAAAATATACATATACATATTAAGTTATGAATATTTCGTTCCTTGTTTTTCCCTGTAAAAAGAGATCAGATTTCATATCGATGGCCAGTGCTGCTGCGTAAACTTCACCAGTGTTTGTGTGCGGGCAGAAATCGTATCACTGAATCAACAGTTTTGATACTCATGCTTCAATCATTTACCCGGTCCAAATGGATAGGAAGTTTTAGCGCTGTTTACTTTTCATTTTAAAGCCTCGCGCGTATTTGTGCACCTGCGCGTTGAAAAACCAACCGACAATATTAGCTAATGGCTTTAGCCATCATCAGAGCACGAGATTCGATACCTATTGACATCAATACAGAAGTTTTTTGTCGCTCTTCCAAAAGCATACGGTAGAATTACACTTCTTACTGCCTGAAATTTCCGCAATTTATTCTAATTTTCAACACAATGCTGCACTGTACGTATCACATTCGGTATTGTATACACATCATGTCGTCGTTGTAGAAAAAATGCATGAAACGTGACTATTCATAGTCGCCCTCTATGCTATTACGTGAAAATATGACCTAAATCTCAAAATTTCTCATGCTTTGTTGCCGATGTTAAGGCGACTTTTGTAGTTCCTCTGGTGCCACTTATGGTTCCGCGTCCTCATTTGTTGTCATTTCAAGCGAAACATGTTATAACTGACTTTTCATTGTCAGCCCCTTTGCTTCGTATATATTTCTTTGAGTCGCAGAATAGAATATGAATATAATATGGAATAGAATATATATTTGTATAATTTCTGTATTGTATGATAATATTAGTGTTTTATTTATTGTTGTTGTTGTTTTTTTATACTATTTGCCTCTTTGGCCTGATAAAATATGAGGATCGAAGAACATTCTTGATTAGATTATAGCTTTGGATAATCTTTGAAGTCGCTTATATGACAACACCACCATGCTACTGATGAATAAAAAGTGTTAAAGTGTAATGATATGGGTGCTGATAAAAATAAGTTAAATTAAAGTTAACTCTCCATTTATGCCTTTTCCAGGGGTCTGGATCAAGACGGAATGATGAAAATGAAAGGACCAGGACGGTCCATGATGTTCAGCTATGATGAACTACGATCTCACTTCCCTTACCTTATTCCACAAGCCCCAGTCATTCCAACGCCACAGCCTTCGGTGTCTGCAGCTTACTTTCAAGACCTTCACGTGCACGCTCACGCACATGCTCAGTTTCACCGTTCATACGCGCCGCTCCAAACGTACCCAGCATATGTTTCGGGAAGTCCTCATCCATGTACCAGCACGTGCACCAGTAACCATACACAAGTTACTCCTCTGAGTTTGTCTTCACAGACAAGTGCTTTTGAACCGATCTATTCTAGTCGGCTTGCATTGGACAACTTGTAATCGCGAATTATGTTTGAAAATTTAATTGAATAACTTTTGAGCGTTTTCTTTTGTTTTATTTGTATTTTTCAGTCACATTAATCTCGTGAATTAGCTATACATTGTACAGAGATTATAACTAAAAAAGAAAAACTATTTTCCGACCAAGTAGAAAGCCTCCGCTACGGGGTGCTCGTGGCTGATCTTATAATGGGAAGTTATATGTATGTATTCATTGGTGTACAGCATGCAGTTACTTGTTAGAAATTGAAAAGACAATACAATACAGATGGACTAGCTAAGAGATTAAGATTAAAAGCTTGACTGCGGTATCTATTTTAACTCATTATTTGAAATCGTCTGGTTTTCATTGAAAATACTTTGAACTCTATAATATCACTTTTACCACTTAAATCGACATTTTTGTAGCAGCTAGCATTGCTGCTGATAATTTTCAAATACTATTGAGGAGGCAGGAGCACAGTGGAATACTCTCAATAAAATAATTGAAGGCTAAGAAGAACCAATTTTATCAATGATAATGATAGCAATGATAATAAAAATATATTCATCAGTGTGATATTGTGTTTACAAAACATATGTGGTCAAAGAAGATATACCCTAAGAGGAGAAGAATCTAATCAAATAGCAAGAGAATCACATTTTAATACTTCTTCTTCTTCTCAGTGATTTGATCTCCTCCTTCATTTTCGTATATTTACAGCCTTTCTTTCCGCCGATATCTCCATATATTTTGTTTGTTCTTTAAATTAGTACTTATTATATTTTCACATATGCTCCCCTGTCTCGCTACTCAACGCACTACCCTTTGTCTCTGAATAGAAGGCTTCATACTTGACCAAATTTTTAACTTCATATCTGGTTAAAACCTTCTCGTTAGAAGAGATAGAAACGGATGTAGGCAAGAGTAAAACAGAAATTACTGAAAAAGTGCGTCTAAAAAATGTGAAGATTTATAACTATCATAGGTACACTTTGCATCGGACAGCTTACAGACACCTTAAAATAATGATGAATACCAAAGAAGTAACAGGGGAAATGAGTTCTTTTGATTTGATTACTTTCGTAAAGCACTAATATATTACAGGAACACGAAGCAAGCTAAATTAACGGAAATGAAGATGGTATTGCAAGATGCGAGTAATTGTTGAAATCAGAGGATGAAATGTGACCATCCAGTCACATTCATAAATTCATTCATTCATTCTTTGATTCACATATTCATTCATTCGTTCATTTATTTATTCTTTCGCTCCTTCTTTCTTCAGTTCGGTCCATCCGTCCGGTCGTTCCTTCCCTCATTCAGACCAGAAAAGATGGAAAAAACCCAGTGTCGAAATGTAAATTTGATGAAATTTTTTCTCTTTTTTGCGTTAAGCAATTGAAAAAGAGTAGGTTAAGATAAAGACAGATTATAGCTACTATGAAAGGTAAAACAGCAACAACGACACAGGCGAAACCTTACTTGAGTCGTTATGAGTATGACCTTGTCAACAAGATTGATACGGCAACCAAGATGTTCATCTCCGCCAAGATATTGTTATAGTCATTTCTATCTTCTCGATGAGTTATAATTTATATTATATACGTCAGTGACGTATACGACGATCTCCTCCCTGAAAGGAGGTCGATAACGTGCAATAGACTAGTATTCCATACAGGGGACGTATAAATACACCCATAAGCTGCACACTACAGTGGTTGAGCTTTTTCCTCGATTGTCAAACGTTATCGGTGACGAGCCTCATCACGAGATTGAATCGCTTGAACACGGCAACTCTATGAAAATAGTCAGTTATTCGCGTAAGGGTTTCTGTCTGTCTAACCATAACTACACATGAGGATAAAATGAAGGTCTTAGTGGGGTTAACCACTGGCCGTACCACAGCCAAAACAATAAACCGTTAAGCGCAACAATTGACAAATTTTAACCATTAGTCGTGAAGAAAGGTAACCATAAAAAATTGCGGGTGACAGCAATGGGAACATGTTATTCGTTAGCCTTAAATTGGCCAAAATTTTACCGTTTAGCTGTAAAAGCCGTCAGCATGATGAGACCCTCTAATATGCACACGTTAAGCCTTTATCACTCAAGCTTCTTCAATGAATGAGCTGAATTATTTTTTTTTTCTTATGTGCATTGTCATTTTGATGAATTGATATATTAACGTTACCCAGGTAACTGGCTATTTTGAGTGGTTATGTTGCTCGTATTTAGCGGCTTCGCTTAAAATTTATCTATCTTTCCTTTTAAATAGAAATAAACCTCGTAAATCTTAGTTACACCATGACATCAATTAAAATTTTATAAGGGTCGCAATGGTGCGATGGCTCTTACGGCCAGCGGTTTTAAATTAAACCCTTTTTGTGGCGTACGGTTTTTTTCCCCGTTGTAATGAAAGAAATATTTTTTGGTTAACTTCTTTCACGACTAGCGGTTAACATCTGTTAATTTTTACGCCTAACGATTAATTCTTTTTTGTCGCTTTATCATTGAAACCCTCTTCTATAGACTACCTAGAGGGGTCGCATTCTGCTTCGCTTTACGTTTAATAATCAATTGAAATTCTAGAAAATTTCTTTTGCTTTTTCCTGTCAGCTGGGATCGGTAGACATTTTCACTTGCAATGGATTGAGGAATTAAACTGTAATAAGAGAACATAGTCCGCTTTTTGCCTGAAAGTTTTTCGTATTAGGTTCAATATTTAGAGAAGAAACGGCGGTAACGAGGAAACTGAACAATTCAAGGTCGAGAAGGTGCCAATCGCGCGTGCGTTCATAAATCGCCACGTGGCCTTGTCCTTTCGAATGCAAATTTCCTTTAAACAAAACTTACTTTGAATATTACTCCAACCAGACATGGAGGAAATCGTTTGACACCCTCAGAACCTTTACATAGCGTGAGGCTCGCTCGTTTTGCTCCAGTACACGACTCGACAAATTTGGCCCTATTTCTGCCCCTTGAAGCGTGAACAACGACGCTAAGATGCGCCTTTTGACCGTAATTTTTGCGCTGTGTTTACACTTGATACCTGCAAATAGCCGCCATCTGCAATTTCAACTTAGCGGCTTCGAATGCTTCTACGAGGACCTGGTGGAAAACACGGAATGCTCGCTGGAATATGCACCTATCACCGGCGCCGATCCTCGCATAGACGTGTACATCGAAGGACCCGACAGCGACGTTATTTACAAAGAAGAAAAGAAGGACTATGATCTCCACAAATTTAACGCTACCATGAACGGAACGTACGCAATCTGCTTCAGTAACGTTTTTGACTTCTCTATTGGCGAAAATCTTGTTTACTTCGATCTAGTCAAAGGGAATGAAGACGAATTGGGCTATGATGGAGTCAGCGGAACACAAACAGCCTTGACTCTCTTCGAGAAGTCTTTCCTAAATATTCACGAAAATATGAACTTGATCGAGAGATATCAAAATTATTACAGGTTACGAGAAGCAAACACCCGAATGGCCGCCGAATATTTAAAGCAAAGAGTTCAGTGGTGGTCAGTAGGACAATCATTTGTCATTGTTTCGGTTGGTATTGCTCAAGTTTACGTACTACGTAGATTTTTTACTGTTTCAAAAGAGGATCTCTGAACAACAACAAAAAATTATCCGCTCTTGTATTTGCATCATTGACAGATGTTCTTTGTGTGCGTCGTTTGATTATTTCGCTCATCTCCAGCTGACTTCACTCCAGCTGACCTTAAACACTTCACACATTTAAAATATAAAATCAATAAAACATTTTAAAAAATTGGACTCTCTTACTCAGCAATCGTATCGATAGAGTATTTGTATGGTTATATGTTTACATTGATTATTCGTAAGATGTAAAATCACCATGGCTAACTGGTTAATGATGTAGCACTTTAAGTTGAGACTAATTTAACTTGATATCAAACCTATATACGGGAAAATTCCTATTAATCCAAAATAATTTTAATTTGTTTCCTGTTGTAGCTGTATTGTTTTTGTTCATTGTTAACTTCATGATGAAGAGGTATTAGTGATATCGATGTAAATTCAGTAAAGTGACAGGGGGGGTTTCTTTTTTTTGGCGTGCGATGGTACAGTTTGAAGTTTGACGGGAAGACGAGCCAGGTAATGGTTCTTAAAAAAGTGATGATTTTGGAGTCAGCTCTGAGAGAATCATTTTTGATAATATTAAGGAATTTTATGGTCAGTGTTTTAAATTGTCATTCAGTAACAACATAATGGAGACCATTGAATGAGATAAGGATGAGGATCCACAGACGAATTGACCTTCTTACGTAGGGAAGAAAATGTGTTTTGTTTGTTGTCACGTGCATCACGCTTTTGAACACACCACTTACTATACGCTGACGATGAGTTTAACTGCAACTGATGCTTGTCAGATTAAGTTTAGTAGCTTAAAAGTGAAGATATTAGAGTTCTTAGGCAGTTCGGGAGGTCATTGACAGTCAAAAAACCCTTAAATCTTGAAAAATGTCTCAATTAGTCGTCTTCTAGCATATTCTCTGGCCTGTTGTAAAATAGGTAGTCACAGTAATAACGATCAGCCTGAGAATGCACTTCTTTTCGGCTTGGTAGGATAAAGCGATTTTAAGTATCTAAACTTTGCTTTGGAGGAAGGCGGCTTATATGACTAAGATGCCTAAGTGGGCAGAATGGCGAAGTAAGTAGAGGGAAAGTCATGTAAACCTGCAATGATTTAATTTCGTTTTGTTTTCTCGCCCAAATCACTCGACAGGGAAGCGTTGATCCTTCTATGCAGCAGGAATGAAAGCTGATGCAAGGAGAACTATGCACCAGCAATGAAAAATTTTCAAGGAAAACTAGCTAAAGTGCGATTTCCTTTAGAGAAAATCTCTCCAAGTGCCAAAGAGAAGTCAACTTCTCTCGAAATTTTTTCTCAGTTTTATTTCTTGAAAAGTCCCCTTTCTCGAAATCTGAATCAAAAGTTATTTGGAGAGGGACACTCAAGGAAAAGGATCAATTAATTACTCAAGCAACCACTCCTGCCACAAGAAGAGTAGCTCAATATATTTTTGCTCCCACTGAATTACCGAGACCTTCACAGCGTCGTCGAATTAAAAAACGCGGAAACAATTAGGCGTGAGAGACCTCAATTTTCACGAAGATCGACTCAAAGCAAGCCGATCTTACATCAGATAAGTGCCGGGCACAAAATCAGTTCTTTCTTTGCTACAAATCATGCTGTGCTAATTTCCGAAGGATCACGCTAACAAAGGAAGTAATACAAAGTATCATAAAAGAGCAGAATAAATTACGCCGTTTTATTTCAAGCCAATTAAAGTATGACGTCTTGATTCCTGGTTTATGTGTATATGTAAAATCAATATCGTGATTGAAACTGTGTCTTTTATGCTATCTTAACTCGAAATGTAATCAATTATTTCCGGTTACAGAGCCAACATCAAGCCTTTCGTGAACCCAGAACAATGATCAATCCAGCACACAACAACACAAATTTTGCTACATGTTAAATTCAAGAAATAATCATAATTTTACCTATTTAGAAGAGCTCAGTTTCCTTAAATATACTAAACATGTGACAGTGTTTTTTTTTACCATTTTTCTTCTTTCGACTGAGCTCAACATTGTTTGCAACATCACTGACAAGTAAGATGAAAGAGAAAAAAGTCGCAACTATTTGGAAAATAGCTTACAAGGTGTTCAAGCTTTTTCTAGTAAACCAGCCGTAGCATTACAAGTAGTCCCATTTCTTTTACAGCGCGCAATTTATGAATGATGTCATGTTATGGTGAGTTGCCATTACTCAAAGCGTTTATTTTCCCATTCGCAGACGGTATAAATGCACCAAACAGAACTATTCAGCCTACTCAGACATGGTCAATTCCTTTGTTATTTCTCAAACATCGCTTATGTATTTTTATTTCATACTATGTTCAACCCTTCAGCCTGGCTGCGTCTTTTCCTGAAGGTAAGATTAAGAAGAAATTACAAAATGAAAAAAAAAAGGAATAAAAAAGAAAAAAAAGAATCGAGGAGTTTGCTATAAATAACCATTTCACCCCTTAAATATCGAGCTCTGTCTTTTCAATAACCATACAGGAGGGTATTTTGAATGATTGCCATGTAGTATATGTGAATGATCAAACTGCATCCACATTAGTAATCAACTTACCAAAAGTTTAAGCATTCTTCAACATGGTTTTTATCTTCTCGTCTTTTGCAGTGTCCATCAATTTTTTCCCATCTGGGTCTTCTCCATCGGGATCTGCACCCTGAAAATTTCAAAGTAGGAAGTCAACTTTTGGAATGGATATTCAGTGGAACAAAGTGCGCTATGGATTACCACAATTTCAGTGAAATTGAGTTAAATTTTTGAACCAAAGATACTTAGAGCACCAGCGTCAAGCGTTATTAAATGTACAAAGACCGCTAGACGGTAAGACAGTTTCTGACTGCGGACTCTCGTTTACCCTAAGAAAGTGACCAATTACAATGTTAGCTCTTCATACAAATAGTAAAGGTTATTCATCTAAAATGGGTCTTTTTCGTATTAGGTAATTAAAACCATTCCGGTTTTAACAAATGGTTGCTGAATTAAAGTTACTGACGATTATTTCTTCCCTGCTAACACTGGAAAAGGTCGGTGAGTTCCTTAAATAGAATTTAAGTTGAATTAAAAAAAAAAAAGAAAAAAGCCAGATATCTAACCAGAAATTGTTAATCTCTAAAATATAGCCAAATGGCGATGCTTTTGACAAGCCCTGCTTAGCATGAGCTAATTAGATGAGCTAATGTAGCTCAGCAATCACAGGCCCTAATGTGCTCAATCAGGTGGCTCAGCAAACGTTCTTCCTTGTGAATCTTGATTCAAAGTACATTATACCCCCTCCACTGCGCACCTACATGTTATTGGATGAAAACATACGAAAACAGTTTCCAGTGAGAAAAACGCCAAATGTCTTTTGAAAAGACACTTTAAAATCGTAATGAATCCAAACACGGAACATATCCTTTTTGATCCTTCATAATTGCCAGAAATTCAGCATCCCCATTCAGTCCTATCGATTTGTCACTCCGGACAATGTGACAACATTTTCCAGGGAAGTTGGCTAAGATTTAAACAAAACAGTGAGAGGATTCTCTCTTTCAGCTACGCTTTCTCATTACCATTTGCAGCAAATACTCCACTAGATTGCTGTTCTCATTCATAACTGCGTAGTACAATGGAGAACACTCATCCTCGTCAGCTAACTGGGGAAGAAAAAAATCTAAATATTTTTAGCAAGATGTGTATTGCATATATAAGGATATAAAGCTGTTAGTACAAATGTTTAAAGCCCTTATTAAGTTACTTATTTCTCCACTCATGCACATACATTTGACTGAATCTAATGTAAATAGGAAAGGAAACTAAGTCTTTTCCACCTCAATACCCCAAAACTAATCTGAGATGTAGTAGGTCCATGCGAGTAGAAGAGAGCAAAGAACTGATGCTGTCATAGTATTCATATTTTCGATTTTACAAATTTTAATCCGTTGAAAAAAATCTTATTTGCGGAATCTTTCTTGCAGAAGCACATTCCAACATTTGAAATTTTCTTCATGTTTGAAATTCAAGGTACGAAATTCATCCATGTATTCTCCAATGCACACTCAGGAAATCGCCCCTGCTTATATTAAGGTGTAAATTGTAAGAGGCCGAATGTAGGGGGAACTAATTCGTTATTTAAGTTTTTTCCGTCATTAAATTTTTCGTTTCCTTAAGATAATCTAATATACTTCTGCGGACATGTTACACTTCCCATAAATCTCCCATTTCATTTGCTATGATCTTTATTCTCTCCGTATCCTCTAAACATTACTCGTTACTTGAACTTCACGTTTTCATTTCATTATGATTTCCGTGTCTCGGACAGTAAATTATCAACAGCGTACTCCGACTGGATAAAGCTTTGAACCTGAAATTTCCTCGAAGCACGTCTATTTCCATTTGACAAAAAGCTAACTCCACGCTCTTGCGTGAGGAAACTTTAAAAGATTTCAGTCACGTACATTTTGAAGTAAAGTAACTTGGTTCGTGTGAAATTTTCCGGTGTTCGTGATGTTATGTAAAAGATCAATAGTTTCACGCCTTTCTAGAAATTAGGGTGCAACGCAGGAATGTGGCTACATATTGGAATTATACATCTAGAAAGACTTAAGGTTAAAGTTATTCACAAAAAATATTATTTATCCATCATTGACTCTTCACTGCTAAGAAAGGTTGCCTCTGGATTAAATATGTCAATAAACAGGGAGCTTCACTTGAACTATAATATGACGTCACTCAATGAAAGAACGTATTTTAGTCCACACACACGATGACATTGACTTTATCTCCGGCATTAGGCGATCGTTTAAATCAATCACTGATATGAACCATTTTTGTTTTTCCTTTTTCAGTTGATTTAGTTGGTCACCCTAATAGATTTGTATTCAAATTGAAACAATGGGGTTTCATTTCAAAGGTCGAAAGGTCTTTCGTTGAATAAAATGAAAATTATTGAAGGACTTTAAGCTGTCAAATTCGTGGTTGTGGCACCCTTGAAGATCAATAACAGTGTTGTTTTTGTCGTCTCTGGGATGTTTTCATTCAATCCAGGTATTACTATGATTTTGAAGAAGGGCGACTCGTTAAGTTATCATTACTGAGTCAGTTCATTCATTAGTTCAATTGGCAAAAAGACCGCGTCATGGTAGACAGCACCTGAAGAGGTTGCCATTATTTTAAAATCAGTCTCTTTGAAGCTTCGTAAATGAGCTCGAGTAA